CAGCAGACCCCGTCAAAGGCTAAGGTGATGGTGACCCTTTGGGGGATGCTCAAGGCATCTTTCTGGCAGGCCAAAGAACCGTAACACCTGCTCTGATGTCTCGTGAACGTTAGCCAGAGCTCCGGCAGAAAGCCACTCAGGAAGGCTTCACCAGCGAGCCCTGCCCTGCCACCACAAAGCTGCCTCTCGTCCAACAAGGGCCTTTGTGAGTTTCACTGGGAAAGCATGGGGCCTCACAGTCCTGGCTTGGCTTCTTCCGACCTCCTTTTGTTTGCTCATCGTAGAAAAAATCCCAGCAAAGGCTTCCTGTTTTCCTCCCGTCAATGATGTAAAAAGGACCTGATACATTTCCAGGACCTTCGAGGTCTTGAAGTCGGGTTACAAGTTGGACTGCCAGGTCAGCAGTTCAAACCCAGCGGCCCCTCCTCGTGAGAATGCTGAGGCAGTCGGATCCCGTGAAGATCCACTGCCCCAGAGACCCACCGCAGTTCTGCTCAGCCCTGAGCTGGAGCACCTTGATGGCAGTGAGTCAGCTCTTTGGGGTCAACCAAATGACTGGCACCATCGCTTATAAAAACACCCTGATCCTGATGGCGCTGATGTTAAGGGACCGAGCTTGTGTTCCTTATCCTTATCTGGGAATTCCATGTTCCACGCACTTTGTGAAGGCCCCTCGCGTGTGGTCTCAGCGGCCCCTCTGCTCTAGTCTTTTCCCAGGATCCCTTGCTAGGGCCCCTCCCCCCTGTGCCCCATCCCGTGACTTCAGGACTGGTGGGCAGGCTGGCTGGAGGAGCGGCTCCGTGCAGGGACCCTGCCCTCGTTTTTGCTGCCTTCTCAGAGAGGCACCCGAGTTCCAGTGTGGGCTGCCCGGGTGCCCGTTGGATAATAGATGTCTGAGCTCAGTGGGAGACGACTCACCAGCCCTGGCGGTGTGCTTGGTTGGTTACCATATAGCCGGTGCTGATGTGGCCAGGAGAGAGTTGCCCAGCAGCCCCTCTCCACCCCCCACCCCCAGGTGTTTCAGGAGGTACAGGCGCTCATCACCTCCTGCATCGACGGCTTCAACGTCTGCATCTTCGCCTATGGACAGACGGGTGCTGGCAAGACGTACACGATGGAGGTTGGTATGCCCTGCCCACCTGTCCCTGCCAGTGGGGAGCTCCAGGCTCTGGCTCACATCTGGCCCTCGGGTGGCACCCCTGACTTGGAGGTGCAATTTTAAAGGTGGGAGCCCCCAGCAGGGGTCCTGTGAGCACCTGTGGTGGGACAGCTCGGCTCACAGGCCCACCCTTTTCCTCAGGGGAGCCTGGAGAACCCAGGCATCAACCAGCGGGCCCTGCAGTTGCTCTTCTCTGAGGTGCAGGAGAAGGCGTCTGACTGGGAGTACACCATCACCGTCAGTGTAGCCGAGATTTACAACGAGGTGCTCAGGTGCGAGGCGGGGTGGTCCTGAGGGTGGGGGGCGGGAGTCCAGTCTCCCAGGAAGGGGCTGAGCCTTAAATCCTGGTTCATCCAGGTGGTTCTGGGGTGCCCCTCACTCCCTCTGGTCCTGAGAGAAGGCAGGAGTGGCACCACATGCGCGCGCGCACACACACACACACGACTTCAGGGGAGCCATCAGGGCTCCCCCTCTTTAGCTGACTGAGCCTGCAGGGGTGGCCAGAGAGGCAGAGAAGAGCTTGGCCCAGACCCTTCCGGGCTTGGGGCAAGAGCAGTGCATGCAGAGACCTGGGCGAGGTCTGGACCCGCCCGCAGCCTGGTGGGCAGGGAGGAGTGACCGCCACCTGCCCTGCAGGGACCTGCTGGGCAAGGAGCCACAGGAGAAGTTGGAGATCCGGCTGTGCCCCGACGGCAGTGGGCAGCTCTACGTGCCCGGGCTGACCGAGTTCAGGGTGCAGAGCGTAGAGGACATCAACAAGGTACGGCCAGGGAGCCTTTTCGGTGGGTGGTGGAGGTTGGGGTTCCAGGGACCCCGTCCGCAGCGGAGCTGCTCTGAGACAGGATGCAGACACAGGCTATGCCAGGACCTGCCATGCGGAGCCCCTAACACTAGGGGAGATGGAGCCATTCCAAAGCCCCCATTCTCGCCCCCACCCCAGGTGTTTGAGTTCGGCCACACCAACCGCACGACAGAGTTCACCAACCTGAACGAGCACAGCTCGCGCTCCCACGCGCTGCTCATCGTGACCGTGCGCGGCGTGGACTGCAGCACGGGGCTGCGCACCACGGGTGAGTGAGCGGGCTGCCCGGGAGCCAGGACCCCCACCCCTCGGCTCCCCACCGGCCTTGACCCACCCCGCGCTGTGCCGCAGGGAAGCTGAACCTGGTGGACCTGGCCGGCTCGGAGCGCGTGGGCAAGTCGGGGGCGGAGGGCAGCCGCCTGCGGGAAGCGCAGCACATCAACAAGTCGCTGTCCGCGCTGGGCGATGTCATCGCCGCGCTGCGCTCCCGCCAGGGCCACGTGCCCTTCCGCAACTCCAAGCTCACCTACCTGCTGCAGGACTCCCTGAGCGGCGACAGCAAGACCCTCATGGTGGTGCAGGTGGGAGAAGGGGTCCCCACCCCCCACCCTTTGACCTTGTCATTACTGCCACCATCCTCCTTCAGTCTCCCCCCCCCCCCCCCCGACTCTGGGCTGTGATGTGGCCCCGGTGGAGTGACTCTGTGTCTCCTACCAGGTGTCCCCCGTGGAGAAGAACACCAGTGAGACGCTCTACTCCCTCAAGTTTGCCGAGAGGGTGCGCTCGGTGGAGCTGGGTCCCGGGACCCGCCGGGCAGAGCTCGGGTCCTGGTCGAGCCAGGAGCATCTGGAGGTACGACCAGGGGCCCATCGGGCAGAGTGGGGACAGGGGGACAGACCACGGGCCCATCGCAGGCCTGTGTCGGGCAGGAGTGGGGACAGGGGACAGAGCACAGACTCGGGGCGACTGGAGCAGAGCCCAGACTCGAACCAGAGCCTCATGGTGGCCCGTCTCATCCCAGAGTGTAGTCTTGGCCTCCAGGGCCCACCAGCGAGTCTGGGGGCAGGCAGGGCGGATGCAGCACCCTGCACTGGGGACGGCCGGGAAGAGCTGGTTTACCGCTTACCTACTCTGTGAGATGAACCCATTATGCAGAAAGGCTTTAAGAGGTTCTGAAATAGGGGCCTGGGTGGGAGGCAGAGGTGGGGCAGCAGGGCTCCCAGCTCACTCTGTCTTCCCTGCCCCAGTGGGAACCTGCTTGCCATACGCCATCAGCCCGAGCCCACTCAGCACCCGGCTCAGGGTCCTCCAGCCGCCCTGGCTCCATACGGAGGAAGCTGCAGCCCTCAGGTGAGCCCGCTGGGCGTGGCCCCAGGGTGGGCAGGCTGTTTCTCATCCTTTTGTGACATCTGGAAGACTTCTGAGCCTTGTTCACCACCTCCCCAGCCCCTGGGAAGAAGGGCGGCCAAAACAGTGTCCACTGCATACAGGACATTCAGGCTGCGGTCAGCCTCGTGCTGTCCAGCTCACCAACGCTGGCCTCACCTGGCCTGGCCCTCCGCTCCCTGGGGGTGGACAGGGCAGGGCTACCTCTCAGCTCAGGGATACAACCCTGGGTGGCAAAGCCCTTGGGGTAGAGGCAGCAGGGTCGAGTGGGATCCTGGCCCAGGCCGGCCCACAGTGAGCACCCTGTTGCTTTGATTTCAGCCTGACGGCTGGGGCTGCACTGTCCAGGTGAGTGTGGGCCTGGCCTGGGCTGCCCTGCTCGCTCGGCGTCCTGGGGTGTGGCCTGCTGGGGGCGCTGGCCCGCTACGGGCTGGGTCCCTCGCTGCCCGCTGTCTGCGCTTCTGCTGGGCTCTCTCCCACTCCCAGCCATGCCTGCCCCCTGCTGAGCAGCCCTCTCCTCTTGACTGCAGGGAAGTCCAGGCAGGTGCCTGTGTGATGGACAGCACCAGGACCCCAGGCACTGGGGACCAAGAGGACAACACTCGGGCGGAGGCCCCTCTACTGCCCTGTGCCCCCTCAGAGATGAGAAACATGCTCCAAAGGAAATGCTGTGTGGGCTCTGGGTGCCAGCGGCACAGGCTGGAAGGTCAGAGCTGGCTTGCAGGGCACTGGGTTGTGAGGGAGGGAAGCCCAGCTCCTTGCTGAGGCACCCCCAGGAAGACCTGAGAACTGAGCCATGGGGGTGGGCGTTCCTGGGGGCAGGCCTGGCCCCCAGGAGAAGCTCCTATGGCAGGTGGTATACATAGTGCTCCCAGGGGACTTTGCGCTGGCCCGCCCCCGGGCGCTGTATTTATGGCTGGCAGAGGCCAGATTGGGGCTCCTGTGACCCCCACCTGCCCAATGCCAGCTTCTTTCACGCAGGTCTTGATGTTTCTCTCGCTCTGAATCCCTATTTAAGAACTTTTGGAAACTTAGCCATTTCTACTTATTAAAAAGGCCTTTTTACACCCGTGTTGTCTGAACTGGTCCTGCGTAATGGTCAGGTGCTGGCCTTCCCTGATGTGGCTGTATGGGCAGTGCCAGCCATGTGCCAGTGAGGGGCCCCGGTGCTAGGGTGGTTAAGCACTGGGCTGCTCTGCAGGCAGTGAGGAGACAACCTGCCTCTGTCCAGACTTTCTGGCCTCCAGGGAGCAGCTCTGCTCCACCTGGGGAAGGCCGTGGCAGGGGGCGGACACTGAAGGGCAGCACTCCGGCCATGTCAGGCTAAAGCAGCCATCAAGTTCCAAACCCAGTTACCCGGCCCTGCTCCTCTAAGTGCCCACCCCCCTCGGGGGAAGGGGCCAGAGCCCCCCTCTCGGCAGCCACTGGCAAGTGTCAGCTAGCCCTAAGGGAGGTCATGTCTGAGAGGATGGGGTGCAGCACCCTACAGCCTTGGTGGTGCCCCTGGGACAACTGGAGGAGTGGGGTGCGGGGCCTCCCAAGTCCTGGGAAGTGGGTGGCTACCTTACCTTCCTGGCCAGCCGTCGCTCTGCTGCTCCCTGGTGGCGCCTGGTGGCCGCGCAGCCTGATACCCGTCCCCACAAGGAACCAGAGAATAGTTACAAATTTAATAAAATTTGCCTTATAAATTACAGCAGCAGCCCTGGGGCTCAGCTCGCTGTCCCAAGAAGCAATTGTTGGGCCAAGCTGGGCAGCTGTGCCTAGAATGTGGTCCGAGTCCAGGCTAGGGGGTGGCCAGTGGTCCAGCACCCACCTTCCCTCCCTCCGGCACAGCCGTGGGGCAGTGGTAGCCACTGGGCAGAGACTCTTGGGCCGGAGGGCACGAGTGGGAGCAGAAGCGGGCCTCGTGGCTGTCAGGCCCACTCCCTGGCCCCTCAGTCCAGACTGGCCATGAGCAGGTGCAGCTCGCGGAAGGCACTGCCGTGACGGCCGCTGAGGCCAGCCTTGCTCTTGACGAGGCCACCGATGCTCCTGAGCTGCTTGTAGCAGAGCCGGCACTTGTGGAGCCTGTTGGGGGTGGCGGGGCGCACAGCACGTGAGGGAGGGGGTGGGCCCTGGGCCCCACCCGGCCTTTCCAGACCCCTCTGGGAAGAAGGCTGAGGCCTAGAGACAGGACCACGGAAGCTGGCCCGAGGCACCCTCAGGCCTGTGCCCTCCCCCCCCACCCAACGCACCTCTCCTCCCGGCTGATGTCCACACCCACGGAGGGCGGCGCCGCCAGGATGTCGGTGATGAGGGGCAGAAAGCGCTGCAAGATCAGCTTCAGCGAGGTGCAGCCCGTCTGCACGTAGCTTCAGGGGCAGGCGAGTGGACAGGGCCCGGGCAGACACACAATGAACAAGATCAGGAAGCTTGAACTAGGAAGGGGCAGGGATGCTTCGCAGAGCCCTGGGGTGCCTTGCTGCCCTCCCCCAGCCCCGGGCGGGTGGCCTCCGGTACCTCTCATACTTGCTCTGAAGCAGTTTCTCGATCTGGGGCAGCACTGTGGTGCACAGGTCCAGCTTCCACAGGGAGCTGGGCAGGGAGGGGCACAGTGAGTGCCATTAGTGGCTGCACTGACCCGGCCCACCCATGCCGCCCCATGGCCCACTTACGCTTTCTGGTTGACGATGTTGAGGAGGTCCACCACCACCGACAGGTCATTGATGGCCACTGCAGCGTCCACAGATGTCTGGAAAATAGGACGCCTGTCACAGGGGCTGGGAGGCCTTAGGGCCCTGCCTGGGTGTGTGCGGGTGTGACGCCAGGGCCCCCTCTTGGAGAGTTAATGTGGGCATGTGCAAAGAGAGGGTAGGCGGGGCACGAGAGGGGCCAGGGGAGCCCCACGCCGCCCACGCCTGCCTTGACGTCGCCCATGGTCCACGTGGTCCGCACAGTGTCCAGATTCTTGTGCCGGCTGGTGAGCACCACACACATGGTGTCGTGTCCCTTGCGGATTTGAGACATGGCGTCCTCGTCGACCAGCTCCGCCTGCTGCTGCATCTTCACGGCCTGCAAGGGCGGGCACCCGGTGCTGGTGCATAGCAGGCTTCGGCAACCCTCGGCCGTTCCCCCCTCCCCCCCAACTCACGGGCAGGAAGTCGGAGGCCTGCAGTCCGATGGGCTCGTTGCGGGTGGCAGGGATGATGACAGGCTCGGCCTTGGGTGCGGGGGTGGCGGAGACGACCGGGAGTTGGGGCAGAACCTCGAGCTGCAGAGGACTGGGCGCTTAGCAGGCGGGCCTGAAGTCGACCACCCCGCCTCAGCCCTCTCACCCGACATACGTTTGGCATTGGTAACTGGACGTCCATGGCGGGACTGGGCTTAGCCGCCTCTTTGGCTGGGGCCGCGTCTGAGGCAAAGGAGAGACGGCTGGGTCAGGTCAGGAGCAGGGACTGGCAGAAGAAGAGGGGTCCAGGAGGTGGTGGGCCTCCCAAGGGCCGTCAGGCTGCCTCCCCGCCCCACCTGCCCCCCACTACCCTGGGTCCGCTGTTCCTGGATGGGGCTGTGGAGTGGCGATCCTGGCACTGAAGGGGGAAGGGGGGAGATGGGGGGCTGGCAGGGGGACGTGGATGGGGAAAGACTCTGGAAACCCAGATACAAGGGGGGCTGCGGAGCAGGACAGCTGGGTGAGGGAGAGAGCACTTGTCCACACTCAGCCCCTCCTCTCTAGTGGGCTCTGCGGCCTGTGCGCACCCCGCTGTGCACAGCACTGAGCCTTCCTCTGGGCTCTGCATTTGCCACACCCAGCACCAGGCTTCCTCTGGAGGCGGTCCCAGCCACGCTTGTCCCCCACCTCACCCACCCCCTGCTGCACGTGGTGCCCTGTGCGAGGGGTCTGCCGGCCACTTACTCTCCTCACCAGGGAGGATATTCTCACCAGGGAGGATCATCTGCCTGCTGGGTATGCCACCACAGCCTAACTCGGCCCGGCATGCAGTAGGTGGTTCTAGGTGCCCAGCAGCACAAGAATCATAGGAGACGGGAAGTCAGGGGATAAGTAGGGGAGAGGGGATGGGGGGGACCAGGGACCACACGGAGGCCGGGCCCTGCCCTCACTCACCGTCCTCTGGGGGGGCAGGGAAGGGCTCACTTCTGCGGGGTGGTGTCCGACCTGCAGAGGCAAGCGGGCTCAGGACTCTCCCCAGCACACCTCCCATCTGGAGCCCCCATGGGGGCAACCTGTCAGGATGCAGGTGGGCGCCTGGCAGTGACCCTCAGCCCTGCACGTCCCAGCCCCCGTGCTCCAGGGGCCCTGTGTCTGCTCAGAGCAGGTCTGTGCGTGCAGGTAGCAGGGGCACAGTCAGGACGGGCTGAGTGGCGGGAGGAACCTGACTGGAACCGCCCCACCCGCCACAGGCGCGAGGCCTCCGTGTGCTCACTGATGCTGTTCTTGGGCTGGAAGATCTCTTGGTAGTCCTCCGCGTTCTGGATCTCGGCGCGTGACTCCCGCTCCTCCCGCTCGTCCTCGCTGCTGGGGCTGCGGCGCTCGCTCTCCGAGTTCTGCTTCACCCTGGGGACAGGCCAAGCCCCAAAGAAGCGGGGGAGTGGGGGCAGCTGGTAAGGTCCAGGCCTGGCGTCCCTGCAGCCCCTCCACGAGGGGCCCGCCTCCGGCACTCCCCAGGGCTCCCACCTCTGAGGCTTGTTGCAGGTGGTGCTGGGTCGTTCATAGATGCGCCGCAGGGGGATGCTGGGGTTGGGCGGCTGCTGGGCCAGGGGTCGGCTGTCCTGCACGGGGTCCGGGGCCACTGTGCCTGTCCGGGTCACCCGGGTCAGGTCCACCACGTACGAGGAGACGTTGCTCTGGGCGAAGGCCACGCCTATCTGCAGGAAGTAGAGAGCTGGGGGCTGGGCCCTGGCCAGAGGAGGGGTGGGCGGGAGCGGAGGGGCAGGGGTGCAGGGGCGCTCACCAGCTGGTCGTTGCAGATGGCCAGGTCGGCCACCTTGCCCCAGTTGACGAGGACCACGTCGAAGCAGCGCTCGGGCTCCCAGCCATAGACGCGCAGCGAGTCCTGGCAGCCGCTGTACAGGCAGCAGCCGTCGGGGCTGAAGAGGACGCTCCTGGACGGGGAGAGGCCCGTGGGTCCAGGGCCCCTAGTCTGGCCGCACCTGAGGAGGGCTCAGCCATAGCCGGTGGGAGCCATGATGGAGAAGTTCTTCCCATACACCTCCTGCTGCCGGCATACCTTATAGGCTCTACCCCCACCCCCTACCACACAGTCAGGTACCCCATACCTGACAGCTCCCCCCCAACTTGACAGGCCCCTGTACCTAATAGGCACCCCTGTACTCTTAAGGTCCAAGTACCTGTTAGGGCCCCCCTACCTGACAGGTCCCGGCTCCCCTTCAATGCAGCTCACCACCTGGAATTTCTCCAGATCCCAGAAGCGGATGGTCCTGCAAAGGCAGCCGCATTGTCAGGAAGCTAGCTTCTGATCGGCTGCACAGTTCATCCCCAAACACCTCTTCCCCAGGCCCAGGGCCCAGGCAGGAGTGGACACGGATGTCGGGAAGCTGACCCATGCCCTGCCACGCATGGCCTGCTACCCATGTCTCTCAGCCAACCAAGCGTGCCAGGGCCAGCAGTGCTCGCCGCCGCCGCCGCCTTTACTCAGCATGGCCCGCAGCCCCGGGCCCCCAGCATGGTGGGTGGGTGAGTGGGGGCGGGGGTCTCCACTGGAGGCCTTAAGCCCTGACATGCCTGTTTGTGAACGCCCAGGTTTAGGGCATGGACTTGGATACAAGACGGGGTGGGGCGGGGGGCAAGGTAGGACCACCAGGTATGAATGAAACCCTGGGGCAGAGAAGGGGAGGGGCAGCAGTCATGTCCTGGGGGTAGGGGGTGCCATGGGGGTTGTCTCCTCACCGGTCAGAGCTGCCAGATGCCAGCAAGTACTCGTTGGGGTGGAATTCCACCACGTTGACGGGCCCCGTGTGGCCAGGAAACTCTGACATCATCTTGCCGGCAGTCAGATCCCAGAGCTGCAGGCACAGGGAGGCAGAGCAGGGTGGGGGCCAGGCCGGGCACCCAGGCTGCCACTGTTCCACTGAGCTCTCTAGCCACAAGCACCCCCACCCACAGTCCAGTCAGGATCAGGGCAAGGACCAGCCCCAGGCCCGGGCCCGGCTGCCAGCTACCTTCACTGTGTGGTCATCAGCGGCAGATGCCAGCCACTTCCCATCGGGGCTGAACCGGAGACAGCGCACAGCCTGGCTGTGTCCCTGTGGAGGGGCAGAGACCGGAGCTCGGCCTGGGCGCATGTGGAAGATGTGGGGCAGGAAGGGGGCGCTTCACCCCGGCGCCCAGGCCTCGATGGTGGGCACACTTGCTTGGGAAGTGATGTTTTCTAGGGCCCTCTTGGGGACTGAAGGGCACTCCTTAATGACCCAAGCTCTGAGGGCCTGGAGCCCTCTGCTGAGGCCTCCCCGGTCCGGTGGACAGCAATGCCCTCTACTGCCGAGTGACAACAGCACGTGCAGCCAGACCAGAGAGGGAGGCGGCGAGCAGGCTGGCGACAGGCTCATGGGATTCAGACAAGGACAAGGTCACCCTTCCCTCCTGTTGTCTGCTCTGGACTCCCAAGCTGGACAGCCCACCCCCAACCCACGCCTGAGGGCTGGGAATGGCCCCAGGGCACCATCCTCACCCTGTACCGGAAGACGCAGCCTTTCCTCCTGATGTCCCAGAGCTGTGGAGAAAACAGGGCATGAGAGGGGCCAGGGCCACGGCCGAGTGTCAGGCTGGGCATGGGAGCCAGGGGCTATGTGTACTCCAGGCCACACCGCTTTAACAGGTCAGAGCCTGCCCACCTGGGCAGAAACGTCCGAGCAGCGGCCCCTTCGTGTCCCCTTCTCTACAAGAGCGGGCCCCTACCTCAGGGGAGCCAAATGCGGCCCCAGGCATAGCGTGATGCCTCACCTTGATGTTCGTGTCCTGGGACCCAGAGGCCACAAACTCGCCATAGGGGTGGAAGTCCAGACTGCAGATGTTGGCTTTGTGCCCCATGAGCGTGCGAAGAACTGCCCCGGAAAGCAAGCAGAGACAACGGTGTGAGGCCAGCAGTGGGCAGGCTGCTCCGCCGAGCATGGTGCATGTGACTAGTCGCCGTGAGCACAGACACATAGGTAAACCGCAGGAGAGAATGGAGACCAGCCAGCGCCTCAGCACCGTAACAACCATCACCCCCGTCTCTCGAGAACGGACAGCCATTTCTGCCGGGGCCAAGACCCCAGGCTCAAGCTGGGGGAGCTTCTCAGTGGGCAGAGGAATGCAGGAGGGCTGTGGGGGGGCAGCACCAGAGCAAGCGGTCTTAAGCCCCCCCATCGAGCTCCACGGGGGAGGGGGGAAGGGCATGTCTGGGTGGCCTTGTGCTCACACTGACCCTCTGGTGCAGCCCCTGTCCAAGAGGGTGGCAGTCTCGCATGTGGGGTGCCCTGAGAACTGAGAGCCTTCGCAGGGACCCACGGCCCAGCCGTGGGGCCACCCCCAGCAGCTCTGGCTCCGTGCCTCTCTGGAACCAGTCTCCTCATCTCTGCTCTGGTCTCGCGTGCCTGGCCAGTTGTGATGTCTGAGTGAAACCTCTGCCCCTGTGCCAGGGCTGCGGGGAGTGGGGTACAGCCAGCACCCTGTGAGGAGGCGGAGCGAGCGAGCTCCTGAAAGCCACTGTCACTGAGGGGAGTGGGGTCTAGCCAGCGCCCTGTGAGGGGGTCCCCATGTCCCAGTGGGATCCAGACACTAATGGGGGGGGGGGCTACGTGAGCTCCAAGGTGCTAAGGAGACGGTGTGACCTTCTCTAGCCCCCAAGGCAGGGTCAGGTGGGCAAGCTCTGTTCTCCTGCTGTGTAACCCTGAACGTGATCCTGGGCCACGGTCGGAAGTCAGTCTAAACACAGCGTCTAGGGACAGTAGGCAGGGCTGTGTCCTTCTGGTGCCACTCAGCCCGACTCTCCTCTGGCCCAGGAAGCCTCCGCTCTCATAAGGTCATCCTTCCTCCTGTTGCTGAGCCAGACCTCCCCTCCCTTCAGGCCCCTGAGCACACACCCAGGTCCACCAACTTCTGACCCTGAGCCCACAAGGCACCTCCCATGACCCCCGGCTATCTGCCACACATGTCCTGTGTGCTGGGAGCAGGGTGTGGGAGCTGGCCTGGTGCAGCACCTGAGGCCAGGCCGTCTGAGATGGCAACGCACCCTCGGGCCATGCAGCGCGAGAGCAGGAGGGAACAAGGTTCCCTCCTCTGAGCCTGCCCATGGCCTCCAGCATCCCACAGGAGGCCCCCGCAGCAGATGCCGGGGCAGGTACCAGATACAAGGGCAGCCTCCTCTGCACCCCTGGCAAGGTCTGCCAAGGCGCCTGGGCCTCCTCGCTCCCGGGGTGCTCCTGCCTCCACCAGGCGCTCCCCGTGTTCCTGGCCAGGGAGGCCCAGGATGTATGGAGGTGCCGGGCAGAGGGGCCGAGACACACACCCGTCGACCCACCACCTCTGCATCCCAGTCAGGCTGTCAAGATCCGGCCCCGCCCGCCCAAGGGACATACTCGCCACCCCCGAGTGGGCAGTTGGCTGCTGGCAACACAGCGGGCCACCTTCCTGGCCCTGCGGATGCCCAAGGCTGACCCACCCTGGCCCTCTGTGCTGGGGAGAGCAGGCAGGGCCACATTCTTCGGGCCTGACTTCGGTTCCGGGAGGGCACTCACTCAGGACCTGCCGAACCCTCCAGCCGAGGAGCTGCTCAGCCTCCACCACCGCTTTCAGGGCCACCGCTGTGTGCCAGGCCTGTTTACCACTGTCACACCCACCCACGCTGTGTGTGGGGGGGGTGAGGGGGGTGGGCCTCGGCTCTACCTCGGAGGGCAGGTTTCTGTTTCTCTTCCTTTGGCGGCAGCTGGCAGGCTTGAGAGCCCTGGGATGAGCACCCTGACTCAGAGCCCCCCCCTCTGGCTGTGCGGGCCCTCTTGGGCCCCCATTTGCCTGTCTGTCAAGGACAGGGCCTGCCTGTCCCCCTGGAAGAACAGCCTGGGAGCTGACTGCTCCAGCCACTGGCCACCCCCAACTGCTTTCCAACCAGGTGCCCTGGGTGTGGCGCCTGGGGCAGTCACGTGTGTCACAAGTGAGTAGCCAGGCCTGGTGGCAGGAGTCCTGGGCGCAGGAATTCCCGGTCTTCGTTCCCAGCCACGTCACGGAATTTGTCTGAGAGCCTGAGGCAGGGGCAAGGAGGCCCTGCAGGCTTCTCCCTGCTTTTCCTCTGCTCTCGGTGAGTCACTGGGGGTGTCTGCTGGGCCCACCATCTCAGTCAGGGCCCAGCCAACCTGGGCTTGCACCTGCCTGGCCACTGAGTCCAGCGGTGCCCAGACACTGCATACCCTGGGCCCCAGGTGCCCCCACAGCCCCTGCCTGGCCTCCAGGAGGTGCTAGGTCTCTCTCTGAGGTCCTTCTCCCCCAAGGCACCCTTGTAACGGACCCCTCGTGAGCACATGGCTGAGTCTGCCCCAGGGTGCACGGCTGCACAGCCCATCCTGCAGCAGAGAACAGGGGCGGCCAGCGGAGGGCCCAGAGGACCCGGTTTCCATGTGAGGGTGGCCCGTCTTTGGCCTCCACCAAGTGGAAAATGAAACGACAGTACACAACAGAGCCCAGCAAACAGAGGGTCTGACCGTCCTCGGCCCCAGTCCTGCAGCACGTCGGCCTGAGCTGGAGGGGACACCCTGCCTCAGGGCGCACACACTGCACAGCGCCACCCCACCCACCGACATGTGCTTCATGGCCCCAAGCGGTCTACAGACACCCGTCTGTCCACCCACCCTCCCACCACCGCCCCCGCCCGTGCCAGCCACCTGAGGGAGCAGGGCGCATCCGCCCGGGCCATGGGAGGAGAGGGGCTGGGGAGGGGGCACCCGCTCTGGTCAGGGCCCCAGGAGGGAAGGCTGCTCAGACAAAGAGACAAAGCAGCAGAGGCTGAAGACAAGGGTGAACAGGTCGGGCGGGGGAGGCCCTACTTTTGGCAGCTTCCAGGTCCCAGACGCGGATGGAGCCCGACTGGGAGCCGGCCACAATGAGCTCCTCGGGGGTGTTGAGGCGGACGCTCTCCACGGGGGACGTGTGGCCTGTCAGGCTCTGTGGAGAGATGACAGCAGTCAGGGCACTGTTCACACAGACTTCCGTCTCCCCACACAAGGCAGCTGCAAGAGGCTGTGCCCCCAGGGAGCCACCCCTCAGACCTGTGGCCACACTGGGTCCCTTCTGCACCCCACCCACCCTGACCCTTGGGGCTGCAGTGGTAGTCCCCATCCCTTCCCCCTCCACTGCACTCCTGCAGGGAAGCAGCAGCTAAGCGAAGGGGACACTGCGGGCCTCGGCTTGCTCCGCCTTCACCCTGCCCTGCACAGGCAGCGCAAGAGGGAAGCTGGGAGGAACCAAAGCCATGCTTGGCAGAGCCCAGGCCTTGCCCACCAGAATGCCTGGGCCCTGGGGGCTGCCCTCACTGGGTCCAGATGGCCTGGCACTCACTCAGCGGGAGAACCAGGGGCATCTTAGATAACCTGGGGCTGGGCAGGGCCACACCAGGTCCAGCCGGCTTCCCTGAGTGCAGGCAAGCTAGGAGCTGAGCCCAGTGTCTGGCCCTGCCTATCACCCTGAGCTGGGTGCCCCAAGACACGGTGGTGGTGGCTACTTTAGATTTGCTAAAACCACGCTGTCCAAGGGGCCTGGGCAGTCAGGGAAAGCACTGCAGCCAACGCTCCCGCAGGCCAGAGTTACAGGTGGGAGACCAAGCGGACACAAGCTCCAGGGAGGGCGGCTCTACTGGAGAACGTTTCCCTGTCCCACCCAGCCACTTCACTCTGGGAACGTGCCCGTTAGGAGCTGAAACAGAGGAAACAACACTGACGCCGGGCGTCCCCTGCCAGACTCATCTGTGGTCCACAGGCAATGGAATACTACGCAGCCAGGAAAAAGGCTGGGCATCGTTTTATATATGATAGAGACCCATCTCCATGATGTTTGAAGTGAACAATGATGGGGAACCTGGTATCGAGTATGATGTCATTTATGTAAAAGTGGGGGAGGGCACATGGGGAGGAGCCCACATTTGCTCATGTATACAAAAAAATCCCTGCACGGAGAGATTCTGGGAGAGAGAACTTTCCCGGGTTTGCCATGCATTGCTTGAATTCTAGAGTTGCAGGAGTGTAGGACGTGCTCAACAATAAACATAAATAAGTCGGCTAAGGGACTGCATGGACACACATGAGTGAGGGGAGGGCAGAGAGGAGCCCAGTGGGGCACCAAGGCGGCCAGGGCCTGGTCCTGGGGGAGCCCACAGGCCGTGTCTGGTGTTTTTCTGGAAGGATGGACAACAGGGTGTCCACTGTTGTCCTCTGGGGGAGGAGAGCAAGGGGTCTGATATTCATGCCCGGTTTTTATAAGCCTCCTGATGCCTCTTCAACCCATGTGGACACATTTGGCATTTCAGGAAAGAAAATAACAGAGCAACACAGAAAGCACTTTGAACCCTGAAAGACAAGGCAAAATAAAACACGGCCATGAGTCGCTCAACGCCTATGCTGCGTACTGTGAAACAGGGTGATTTGGACACTCTGAGCACAGTGTACCAGAGTCTCCAACAAGCCCCGTGCTTGTTGTCCTAGCGCTGGGAGGGTCCACTTTGGCAAAGTGGGCCTTGGCCACACCCTTACCTGTCTCTCCCTCGCATCTGACATCGGTCCCTCACCTTCTCATTAGCTCTGCAGCTCACAGTGGAGCCAGGTCTTTGACACCTAAAACACGTTTGCATTTGCTTTTAAGGCTCAGTGGTTAGGTTGGGGGTGGTGGTCGGGGAAGGGGGGAACGCTGCAAGCCTCACAGCATGTGCAATACCTGAGACTGGATCCTGCCTACAGGTCAAAGCCAAGAGTCACACAGTCAACTTTTAGACAGGAAGTCCACTACATGCATAAGCTAGGAACACAGGTCTTCGTTATGATTAACAGGACACACGTATTGTAGGCTCTATGAAGGCATGTCTTTAGAAAACAAACTGTTGAAAACGGGATCACCCACCTGGGTCTGTGCACGGCTGAAGGCAGTGCTGCTATCTCTAACCCGACTGAAGAACCCAGCGCTCTTCAATTTACACCAAGTCAACAAAACACCCTCCCTGAGGGGCTCAAGCAAGTTCCTTTGAAATGGTCTTTGAGTTTAAGACCAAGGTCACCCCACCCTCCCCATAAAAACCACCTGGAAAAGGCTAGATCAAGGTCGGGGGACAGGACATGATTCCCAAGGAGATTCTGGTGGCACAGCCCTGCTACCCTGGAAGACTGAGCAGGTGCGTGGTCGGGATCACAAACTGCCTTGGCGCAAGTCTCTGGCCTTTTTCGCCCCCGTGCACGTCTCCCTTTCCCCTCAACGTCTTCTTAATAAAGCCCTGGGTTGTCCGGTGTCCTCTGAGGAAACCTATCGAGACTGCCCCTTTGGGGTGCCCCTTTGGAGTCACCAGAACCTTCTGGGCTGAGTTCCCTGTCTTGAATTGAACTGCATCCAGCAGTAGATCCCCTATTTTTGATTGGACCTTTTTCATAAGGTACCCTAACGGGACTACGACAGGTACATTACCTAGAGAAACTGTAGCCGTGCGCTGGTGACAGACATGCTCACACACGTTTTGTGGGGGCGAGCCCGTGTAGAGATGAACTAAACCGCCATGGCGGTCATGTCTCGCTTACCCTTGTCCGTACTTTATTCAGAGTATCCCGGGCAGCTCAATAGCTTTGTATCCAGGACCAATGCGATACACCTGCTCCACGAGGGCAGCTGTTCCACCATGTCCCACCCTGTCAGAACGGCTAAACTGTGGCAACCTATAGGCCCAGGACCAGATGTGCAGGTGGATGCTGCCCGAAAGCACATTGTCCTAAGCTGGGTTCTCTAGGGGATCAGAAGCAGTGTGTACACGAGGGAGACATTTATCTTGTAGAAACCGGCAAGTCCCAAGTCTATGGGTCACACACCAGGCTGAAGGCTTCTCCTGACTCACGTAGCGGAAGGGGCTGACCACCTACAATCAGCAGGTGAGATGTAAGGCCGCTGGCTCCCAGGCTGCAGACACGGATGAATCCCCACATCAGTAATCAGTATGGCAGGCCGCTGGCTCAATTCCCAAGAGCCAACAGTCAGATGATGATGAAACGATGCAGGATCCAGAGTGAGCCAAAAAGCCAGAGCCTTGCCAGCAAGTCTGTATATATTGACTACAGGTCACAACCCCAGGGAAACTCCCTGTCAGCCAACTGGCTGCTCAAAGCAGAACCCATCATAGCGATGATCACATTACATCGGATCTCATCATGAACGTCGAGTACATTATGAGATCAAAAAATCAGTACAACCTGACAGACCCGCCAAGCCACTGAGAAGCAAGGTCCAGTCTAGTTGACACACGGCCTTCGCCATCATGCAGTGCATGGCGGTCAAGCAGACCGTCATCTCGACCCTGTTTCTGCTGGCCCGGGTCAGTGCAGAGTGCAGGACTCCCCAGAATCTCGCAACACTGCGGTGAGGGGGTCTCTGCTCGTGGCTGTCACCTCCTGCCATGCTTGACCACGACCCTTCTTTCACCCAGAGGCAGGAACACCCTGCGCTGGCAAGGACCTGGGGGCGAGGGCACACTCCTGTCCTGCTCTGGGAATGTAAATGGATTTCTTGAGGGCAATTTGGCAATAGGTTGTTTTGAAAACCTATTAAAAAAAGCACACACCCTGGGATGGAATGCAATCATCCTCTCCCAGGATCCAGGAGAGGAGGGTGTTAACCACAGGGTGGTTAAGAACAGCCAGAAACCGGAAACCACTTCCAGGCTGCTACCTCAGGTGTGACTAAGCTCATTAAGTCTGGCTCATCCCTACAATGGGATGCCATGAAGCCACTCCAAACCATGTTGAAAACGAGGATTTGTTGACACAGGAAGATGTTCGCAATGTTGTTCTTTTAAAAAACCAAGCTACAAGAGAATAAGTAAGATGAGCCCTTCAGTGCTCAGGAAATAATATACAGGAGAGACTTCAAAGAGTTTGTGGAAAAATGGAACTAAAAGATCATGGGATTCCCCCACAAACTTTTTGAAGCCCCCTATTGTAGGTGTAAGCAGCCTGGGGCACAGGGGTTAAGCCCTTGGCTGTGAACTAGAAGGTCAATGGCTTGAACACTCAGTCCTGCTCTTTGGCACAAAGATGAGGCAGTCTGCTCCCATGCACGTGACAGCCTTGAAACCCTATGGGGCAGCTCTACTGTCCTACAGGGCCACGATGACTCA